GCCAAGTCCTTGTCTCATTGTGCTATTCTGACTTTTAACAAATTTTACCACTTGAACTTTATTATTTAAAGTAGTAGTAGAATTAGTCAGATTTTGAGGGGTTTGAGAACATGTGGAGTCATAACCAATTCCGGTTCTATCTCCTGATGGCTTTTGCATGCTCACCATTTTATCTATTATTTTAGACGAATTAGTGAACGTAGCAATAGTAGCTCTAAGATTATGTTCTCTAACCTCTCTTGCTTTACACTCTTCTTGAAGATGCATATTTTCATTCTTCAATTTACTCACTTCAAGTAAAGCATCTTGCAATTTTTTATTCATTTCCTCTTTTTCAAGAATTAGAATATTATTGCGCTCCTTGAGTTAAGGATGAGTGAGCATAATCTCTTGACATTCTCGCATTAGATTGTCAATAGATTCACGAGAAAAAGAAGAATTAACAGAATTGAAAGAATTAGATGTTACCTCTTCTTCCTCTGCGTCAAGAGCCATAAGACAATCTTCACTTGTACTCAACTCAATTGACTTGCATATTAGCGCCGTATCATCATCCGAATATGAACTTTCATCGCTTGATGATGAATCTTCCGAATCATCATTTTCGTTTGGTTCGTTGCCAACGAGAGCTTTTCTTTTGTCGCGCTTGAACCTTTTGCTTTCGGATTTGTTCGGCGTAGATTCAACATTTTTGCCTTGATACTTGCTAACGATCGGATACAAACAATTTATTTTAAAATGTCCGGTTTTTGCGGCAATTGTAGCACAAATCCTTATTTTCTTCGACTTTTTCTTATTGTGTTATGCGAGAGATGAATTTTCCACGAGCAGAATTTTTGTTGTCTCCTTTTCGCATAAACCTTTTTAATCTTTTCACAAAAAGAGCAAACTGTTCGTCAGTCATAAAATCAACATTATTTTCTACTGACCTGGAGGTTGACGGTTGTTCGGCCATTAGAGCAGAGTTTCGAGCTTCATGAACATCATCATCTTTGGCCTTCATTTCGAACTCATATGCTTTTAAATCACTAAATAATTTGTCTGTTGACAACATTCTGAGATCTCGGTGATCGCGCATAGCCGTAACCTTCATATCCCATGCAGATGGTAAGCCTCGTAGGATTTTGAGATTAATTTCTTTTTGGCTAATATTTTTGCCAAGATCACTAATCTCTCCAAGAACTTTGATCATTCGAGCTTCCATGTCTGCAACACATTCATTTGAGAGCATTTTGAAATCTTCGAACTTCTTCATGGCGATTGTGAGCTTATTGTCTTTTTCTTGTTCATCTCCTTCGCCAATCTTGATAAGAGTTTCCCATATTTCTTTGGCAGTGGCACACTTTCGGATCTTCGGAAATATTGTATCATCAACGGCTTTGAATAGAATATCTTTGGCAATATTGTCAAGATTATTCCGCGTTCTATCGTCCGATGTCCATTCCGGTTTTGGCTTTTGTACGTACTGTGGAGCATCCGGGGATATAACAAACGCCGTATTGATTTTTAATATTTCTATAGGGCCAGTGGAAATAACTTCCCACATTTCATCGTGTAAAGCCGATAAGTGTACCTGCATACGAACTTTCCAATCATCAAATTTTTCAAGAGAGAATAATAGATTTTGAGCTAAATCATTCTTCATCATCATCACGAGAGATATGAAAGATTAATCCAATTCACACACTTTGTAGAATGGATCTGTCTAGCAGTCAAAAATAGTTGACCCACTTTAGGGACAATTTTGACTCGGATAAACACCTGCTCTGATACCAATTGTTGGTCCCAAAAGAGGTAAGGTGAAAGTCTAGAGGGGGGGGGGGGGGGGGTGAATAGACTTTCAAACTTTTTCGCACAGCACAACAATTGCTAAGACAGAGATAAACCAAAACTCTTAACTAGATTGTTAGAGTATGGTGCACAGCGGAAATAATTAAACATAAAGTGTGTGTGAGATTGTGTGAGCAGTATATCTTCGTGAGAGCAAATATGTAAAGAGCAGTATGTAAACAAAGCAGTAAAGAACACAAGACAATTATAGTGGTTCGCGAGGTGGTGTAATCCTCCTACTCCACTTGCTCTTTTTTCCAAGAGCCAATTCACTATATCTACCACTCCTTGGTTCCAAGATACAATGAATTTCCGTGATCTAGTGCTTTGATCACAAAGCCCGCACTAATCACGCCCAGTGACACCACACTGCTGCTTCGGGTTTCACGTCGCCGCGCTACTATCCCAAGATTTCACGACTCCGCGTTACTTTCCCCCCGTCTTCCACACTCCGGTAGAAACGTATCCCATGATCTGGTGCTTTGATCACCAAGCCCACACCAATCACGCCCAGTGCCTCCGACACTGCTGCTTCGGATCTCACAGCTCCGTGTGACAATCCAGGATTTCACAGCTCCGTGCTACTTTCCTCCCTTCTCTTGTTTTGCTCCAAAACAAGTGTTGTCTTGCTTCCAACTTCTGAGACTCTGTAGTTGATCTTCAATGATGCGCAGGTCTCTTTGATGAAGATAAACACTCTGGAATGATTTCTCTTGATAGCTCTGAGTGTTTTCTCTCTTTGAATATATCAAGTAAAGCACTTGATATTTTTGCTCTGCTTTGCTCTATTTAAGAACTCTCTGAATATTTTTCTCTTGAAGCTCTCTGAGTTCTTTTTCTTTTCTCACACTTGAAGATTTTAGCTCTTAGAATTTTAGCTCTCTGCTCTTTTAAGCTTAATTGCTCTATTCGATCCCTTGATGGATTCGAATTTTCTGCTCTCTTGTTCGTGAGTTCGTTGTATGCTCTACTGCTCTTCTCTCTTCAAGTCTTCATATCTTCATCATTTTATAACTGGTAATGAGAATCTGTCCGTTGGAAAGAGACGCTCTCATTTTTGAAATCTTGTATCTTTTGTCAGAGATCTTATCTTATCTTCTGCAAAAATGTCAGAAAGAGATAAGCTACCCGTTGATGGAGTTTCATCTCCATGTAAATGAGCTCCCAAACTTCATCTGATACTCCTCTGGTTTTACGTTGAGTGGAAATATCTGGGTCTCAGTTTTGGTGTAGAATGGCTTCTCTGATTAGCTCTGAAGTGGTCCTTGTATCTTTGGGATTTAAAAATTATTCTTCAATTTAATCCCATACTAGTTAAAACTAGTATTTTTCCTTGTGAGAATATTTTCACTGTAAGTTCATCTTCATCTTCTTCATTTCCACGTCTGGGTGTTCTCAGACTTCAAACTGGCTTTTAACTTCCACCCAATTTGAATTTCTCCATTGTAATTGACACCCAATTTCAATTGGCTTGTAATTGGCACCCAATTGACCCCAATTTTAATTGGCTTGTAATTGGCACCCAATTGACTTTGACTTGCAATTGGCTCCCAACTGCTCGTAGTGCTTTCAATTGCTTCCCAATTTGAATTGTTGACTTTGACTTTGAAATTGGCTCCCAGACTTCTCCTGGTATTTGAATTTCATCTCAATTCAATTTGATCTCCATGTCTTCTTTGAATCGGTCCCCAACTTTGGTGCTTTCAATTGCTTCCCAATTTGAATTGTTGACTTTGACTTTGAAATTGGCTCCCAGACTTCTCCTGGTATTTGAATTTCATCTCAATTAAATTTGATCTCCATGTCTTCTTTGAATCGGTCCCCAACTTTGAAATTGTATCCCATACTACAACCTCAATTGGCTCTACATTGGCTCCATCTTGAATTGATTCCCATGTGAAACTTGCTCCCAATTTCAATTGATTTCAATTTCAGATCTTGAATTGATTCCCATGTGAAACTGATCTTGAATTGATTCCCATGTGAAACTTGCTCCCAATTTCAATTGATTTCAATTTCTCTGAAACTGGCTCCTTCCAATTTCAATTGATTTCAATTTCTCTTAAACTGGCTCCCAATTTCAATTGCTTCGAACTAGCTTCGAACTAGCTCCCAATTTCAATTGATTTCAATTTCTCTGAAACTGGCTCCCAATTTCAATTACTTATTTCTCTTAAACTGGCTCCCAATTTCAATTGCTTCGAACTAGCTCCCAATTTCAATTGATTTCAATTTCTCTGAAACTGGCTCCCAATTTCAATTGCTTCGAACTAGCTCCCAATTTCAATTTCTATGAAATCGGCTCCCAAGTGCAATTGCATCTCAATTGCCACCCAATTTCCGGTAATTGGCGCCCAAAGCTTAAACTAGCGCCCAACTCCATCAGATTAATTTAATTTGACTTCTCAAATTTTACCTTGTAAAATTGTTGATGGTGAGTTTCAAACTTGAGCCATTTCAAATAATATATCAAGCATCATCCACTTCGTCCGTACAACTTTTGATTAAATCTCCAATCACATTTTATGTACTTCTTTCTTTCCATAGATGCTTGATCTCCAAGTCAATTTCATGCATTCTTCCAATATTAATTTTCTTCACGAAAATTCTTCTGGGATATCTTCTTTGAGTAGTAGCGACGTGAATATTGTATCATTCATCTTCTTCTTCAATTTGTCATTTTCTCCAGACAAATTCTTGATTTTCGTCTTTATATCTTCTTCTTCTATTTTCATCCATCTTCCTCTGTTTTTCTCTTTTCATAATTAAATAATTTCCCGATCACGGTCTAAGACTCTACTAGACCTATAAATAAAATTTGGGGGATCTACAAATACAAATTTGGCATATCAAAACCATTACACTTTATTCCTAACAGGTGCTTGTGGTGAGAATATTGGTGAGGTTTTGGATGATGAAAATGAAGTGAAAGGAGATGTTATAGAGGAAGAAAAACTTGAAGAAAATATTGTGGACAAAGAAGAAAAGGTTGAAAGTAAGAATGTGTAATTTGAGGAAAATCATTGCCAAATCGTTAAAGAGGAAGAGAATAAGAAGATGGAGAATGAAAGTGAAGAAGGGGGAGGTGAAGAAAAGTTATGAGATGAAAATTTTGAAGTGGAAATGGATGAAGAAAGGGAAAAAGAGGAAGAGAATAGGAAGATGGAGTATGAGAGCATATTCTTTAAAGTAGATCAATGCCAAACCTTTGAAGAGAATATGCTAGTATTGAGCTTCAGAGAGTTTGTGAACGCACGACACTTGAGGGCGTATCTTGAAGAGCAAGTGGATGGGGCAAAAGGGCTAGTTCTCATCCAAGTGTCCATGGATGGTTCGTTGTCTGTTGCGTTGAGCCAAGGACGTTAAACGTGGCACTTAGCTTCTTGGGATGCAACCCAAGGTTATCTTACTTTTTATTATTTTCATTTTTCTGTTGTATTGTGTGGTTTTTAATTTTCTAGGTAATCTCTTGTTGGTTCAAGATCTTCTAGAAGGAGATCGGAACTTTGGTGGAAAAACAAGCAAATGAGAAGCGGCATTGAATGATCGGGATAGAACGGGCATGGGGAATGTACTACCTTTGACTATCACTCCAAGGGAGTTACCTACACCCTCTAATCCCTATTCTTGCATGATTTAACCATAACCCATTCATATGTTTGTTTCATTGTTGCATGCACCACCCTATTTTATAGGCCCACTGATTGCGGTAATTTGGGGCAAACAAATAATACCCGGAGTATTCGGGTTGTCGAACCACAGAATGATGGGGTGCTAATCACTAGCTACTAGGTTACTCATATGAAACTAATCCGGACAAAACTTGAAGGTTGGGTAATTTCATAATAAAACATGTAGAATAAAATAAATAACAATGTTTTGTAGACAATAGAGCAAAACAGGATTCTTGAGATCACAATGTTTAATCACCTAGTGCCAATTAACTTTTGTAATATTTAGTTTGGAATTAAGATTTGTGTGGGAATGCAAAGTGGAATAGAATTACTCCCGTAATCTCTATTCCTAGTGAATTTCCACTCCCGTGACTTAAACACCCGATAAGACCGAAGATCAGCATTCAATTATTCCCAATTACTACCATCTCCCGATTGGCAACAATCTAGAATAAAATTTCCCCAATAAATTCCACTTTCCCAAGGTCCAACCATTAGGTGCAATCGTGTGTGCCCTAATTTATTCCCCAACTCCCATTGGTGACACAAACATGGTTATGAAGCTAGTAATTTAGGCCATTAATTACCAACAACAACAGGTTAAAACAAGATTGCAACACAAATCATAAAACCAAACATAAATATATTAAGAAATTAACGAACTAGGCACATAGGTTCATAAACAAATTCACCCAAAAATCCCTAAGGAATTTAGCTAAGCATGGCTAAATTATACATAGCAAATATAAATAAAGAATTACAAATCATCAAAAGAGTACAAGAATTGACCAAGCGATTCTCCCAAATCTCCTTGGCTTCCTCCTTGCTTCCAAAGACAACTTGAGGCTCTTGATTTCTTTCTTTCTTGTCTACAAAGAACTCTAAAAATCTCTCTCTTCTTTAGGTTTGAGGAAGGTGGGATTTTATAGTGGGTACAAAGCTGGGATCAACCCTTGAAAGATTAGGAACATTCCTATATTAAATAAGGAAGTTGCCATCACTTTGCTTTTGGAATTTAGAACATAGAATTTGGAATGTTGAGAATTTGGAATGTTGAGCATTTGGAATGTGTTGTTTTCCCCTTCGTGCTTGAAATTCTTCCCTTGCTTCTACACTTAGCCTGAAATGGATAAAAAACACTACCAAACACCGTAAGGTATTCAAGACAAGTGTAAAACCATATCCTAACGAGAAAGCAAGGAAAACAAGTATTAAATAAACAGGATTATGCAACTTTGCTATCAAAATGAATAAGGAAAGCTATAGAAAACATGCAAAGATGTGATAACATCACCCACCCCCACACTAGTTGTTTGTCTAATGTTTTGTCTTGCTTGGGGGCAAGCAAGTTCTATGTGTGGGGAGGTTTGAGATTGTTGAGAGTACCTTGTGCTTTCTTTGTGTTCATGCTAAAGATTGGGTAAATAGGTGGCACATTTGAACTCATTTGTGTGTTGTTGTTCCTTCTACCCTGCATTTGTTGTGAAAAGAGTGTTATAGGTTCAATTGGCTAAAAAATTTTGGAAACAGCCTCTTAGATCGTGTGAGATTTGAATAGGACCCAACTAGGATTTATATTCATTTTGTATGCTTGTTTGAGGTTCAATCCACCACTAACATGGACCTAGGTCAATGATCTCTAAAAATGGGAGTGTATACGGGTTAGTTTTGTGAAATGTAATGTGGTAAGACCTAGAATGAATTTTCTCGATGTGACATAAGGCAAAATGAGAGATTTTACTTTTAGTGAGTTTTGTGATTCCCTACTCCCAATAAAAAAAGGCAAGAGGGTTGGAAAAAAAAAAAAAGAGTCAATGGAAAAAGCGAAAAAAGACTTTAAGCTATCCTTGATTGAGAGAGAAAAACATGAGGTGAGCCATCTCGTAGGATTCAGGTAACCATTGAGGTTTTTGGTTTTCTTAAACTTTGAGCTAATTGAGGGTGTCACACTCATTTCACCACATTTCCCAGGTAGAAGGAGGATCAACATGTGTTTTATTTCATGTGTATCACCTGTTTGCACAATCATTTAGAAGAAGTAGAATTATGATGACTATGTTTGGCATTTCTACTTGTGATTTCTTGGATTTTGTCTTGCTTGAGGGCAAGCAAGGTCTACGTGTTGGGAAATTTGAAATGCCATGAAATAGCCTTATATTTGTGATCATTTATGCTTGCTTTTGGCTCAAATATTAGGTAAAGGATGGTGCAACAATGCAAATTTGGTGTATCTTGATTGCAGAAATAAAAGATTGACTAATGGTGCAAGCAAGTATGAAATGATGCTAATCTTGGGAGAAAACGAGGCTTGAAAGAACTAGGGAAGCACCCGAAGGCACACCGGGGAACGAATGAGCAAAATGATAGCATGAAGGTCATTTGGCGGGACTCATGCTGACACTCACACCGTGAGTGCCAACATCAGTCCTTGGCTGATTCTCTGGTTAGGAGACTCACGGTGTTAGTCTCAGCATGAGTGTGCTGATCAGATTCTGATCACTGAACTCATGCTGATAGTCACACCGTGAGTGTCAGCATGAGTCTCAATGATCAGAATTTGACCATTGAGACTCACGGTGGGTCTCCATTTTATATTTTTGCATTTATATTACATGAACTGTTGAATTCCATGTTTATTACTTCAATTATGAGTAGTTGAATATATCTAGGGATTTGAATTGAACTTAATTGTATGGATGCCAATGTGACTTGAATTGCATACATTAGATTTTCGAATCTTAATCATACACCAAAACTTCAATGTTCACTTTAAATGAACTGAACACAATGAGTCTTACTTATATGTCTCACAAAATTGTCCAGCGCCTTACAAACCGAAATTGTAACACCCCACTTTTTTTTTCTAAATCTTAATTACAATTCTAATCCATAATTAAGATAACTAAGCAGGGGATAAATAACTTATTAAGAAAGCTAGTGGGAGTGTCACCGCCACAATCACCATTCCATGGATATTGCACATGCTAAGGATATAACTAGACAATAAATAAATAACTAACATCCAAGATAAAATAACTAAAAGTCATAAGGGGGAAAAGGACACCCTGAAGCTTACACCATCAAACGTCATCCACAACATAAGTTCTAAAATCTGGAAACTAAAGTCATAAACAAAACATAAAGAGTATAGACTTCTATAACTACTAGACTAGTCTAACTCGTTCACTTCTCAACGCTGGGCCCACCTGAAAGGGGTTTTACAAACAACACATAGACAAATAGGAAAACACCCGTTAGCACGAAGCTAAGTATAACCACACTCAACCCTGTAAAGTACTATAGAATATACTTTGGAAAACATTTGATAACATTTATAAACAACAATCTCATCTCATAGGTAACTATAGTCACATCACATACTTTCTATATGCTTGCAACCTATAATATCAACATGCATGCTTCAATACAAATTGCTTAACAACATAAATATTTCAACATGTGAACATCACTACAAACTTATCAAACAACTCATGCTTACAAATAATTTCATACTATAAATCAATACAAAAACTATCATCATGCTTTCAAGTTCTCATTATGCAAATTGGATATACAAGACTTCAAAATGTAACTAAACTATCATGCTCGATATACAATCTTGATTCATTATTCTCATTATGCAATCTCATAGAATACTCTACTCAAATGCAACCTCGTGCACGTACGATGCTCATATGCAATCTCGTGCAATGCTATACTCATAAGCAATCTCGTGCAATACTATACTCATATGCAATCTCGTGCAATACTATACTCATATGCAATCTTTTGCAATACTATACTCATATGCAATCTCGTGCAATAATATACTCCTATGCAATCTCGTGTAATACTATAAATATACACATACACTCGTTTGTAAGATAGAATACTTTCTGTGCATGCCCCTTATGAATGTTTGAAATATGATATATGTGAGATGTAAAATACTCTATAACATGCTTCTAAACCTTGTATAAAATCCATAAAATTCTCAAGGATATCATATCATACTCGGTTTGCAACAAAGCAAATTCTATACAATTTCTATCAACAAAATATGCTTCAAAACTCATTGATCAAATATCACATTTAGTCATGCTTTCATAAATAAATCATATTTTCAAGTGATCTTGCTTCTCTACTTTATACAAAAATAACATCAGACAACAAGGCAAAACTTTTCTTCTTTACAGTGAACTAACCAATTATACTGTGCAACAATTTCTTCAATGAATCCATCAAACATACTCATTTTTTTTATCCAAATTCAACGAAATCAAAGCCAAAACGTGCATCGAGACGGTCCCGAGGTACCAAGACACAAGGGCCCATGACACCTGGCCGGAAACGACACGTAGATGAGCCACAAGGGCCCAGCCACTGCACAAAATCTTCCCAGAATGAAACTCAGGGACCTGGGGCGGGACACCTCAAGAGCCACCCCATGTGTCCCGTTACATTGTCGAGCCTAGGCAACGGCCCTATCCTAGGCCTAAGTATCTCAGAGATTGGAAAGCAAAAGGAAAATAACTCAAGAAGCAAAATGAAGGAATGATGGATGGAGAATAGCTTACTGTGAATGTTTTCTTTTATCAAACTTGGCTTGGAGAGGCAAGGGAAATGAGGCCAAGAAACAATGGAGAGATAGGGTGACTTTTATAGGGTACCAAACCCTAGGAAATTCCCTTATGATTGACTGATGGCAAAATGGTAAATAGTTAGGCTAGAAGATGGAATTAGACAAGTTTTGGATGGTTAGTGGACCACCATGCTTCATGGACCATGGGTTGAAATGCTATTTAAAATAGTTTGGGGTTAAACGATAATTTTTTTCCAAATAGTTTTCTAGATGAACACTTGTTTAATGCTTCTCAGAATTCTCCCGGTCTCACCAAGATTGGTTTCTCAATTTAAAACTTGGTACGAGAGGTACCCGAAAATTTAGGATTTTGGATTAAAAATAAGTTTTGGTGTTGAATTAATTTAAAATGTGTTCAAAATAATTTATTCAAACACCAATTGATAGCAAAAAAAAATTTTAATGGAGTGAAAATGGCTATTTTGGAATTTCTTAAAATTGGATTTGTGAAATTAAATTTTTGGTTGTTACAGAAATTGCCCAAGATCAATTTTGAAGAAACTAAAGACTCTATTCATCACTGAAGAATTATTAAATGACAGTGCACCACAAGTTAAATGTTTTTGTTCTAATGAATTCCTTAATATTATTACAACATTTTCATAAATATGTTGCACAACCAAATGTTCAATAATTTGAACTTATGAATTTATATGAACAAATACAAGATTAATACTTGCGGAATATTTTTAGCTTATTGGTTGATATACAACCCAATTTGGAATGTATGAATACAATAATTAAATTCAAAATCTTTAGTGGAGGAACTTAATGATCTTTTTCTAAATGATCACTCCCATTGGTTAAAATATTTTTCAGCGAAATTAGAAAAATGAACTTAATAATATACATACTCATAATTGATTTGACCAAATAATAAATGAAGATATAATTTCTCACCATTAGTTGGACATACTAAATAATCAATTTTTTGTTCCAATTAAAGTCCAACTAAATAATGAAGATATAATTCTCCACCATAGTTGGACATACTAAAAAATAAAACAAAATATTCCTTTCAAAACCAAGTTTAGAATTTGGCTCAAAAGATAACGTTTTTTTATTAATGGAATCTAAAAGATGCATGTCAAATCTGTTGGGAAAAAAATGCTTGTATACTGTAATACATTTGAGATACAACAATAATACAGAATACATCAGGGAACAAAAACTGAATCATTTGATATCTTCAGGCATGTAATCACTTTCCTATAAGCTTTAAATCTCCCTCTATAGAAGCAACAAGGTTCAAGATTTAATCTTATGGGATACAAGAAGATAATGAAATTCTCAAGTTGCTTTATTTGAGAATTTCCTGTAGAGATGTAAGCTTGTGAAGTATCTTGGTTTCCTGCAAAATAATTGCTTGTAAAATTCATGTAATTTTCCTGTCCCTTTCAGATGTTTCTCGAATATATTTATAGATGAAAAATATATATGTTTGGAGAAGTTACATGGTAGTTGCTGTGATTTAAAACTCAACTTCCATAAGATAAGATATATCCTGATTGATATATCTATCACTAGAGAAATTAATATATATTGAGCCAGTAACTGTATGCAAAATTACATATATGTATATATATATATATATATACATATATATATATATATTTATTTATTTATTTATTTATATATTTATTTATTTATTTATATATTACTTACGCATGGAAACATGCAAAGGATAAATATAAATAATATACATATATGTAGTTCAATAATCTCAAGCATACAGCTACATATATCAAGCATGTTAAGTGTAACTTTGAAGCATATAGCTTCAAAAAAAAAGAAGAGCATATCTCAAGCATGTTAAGAGTAGTTTTGAAGCATATAGCTTCAAAATGCCCCAAAACCTTACGCATGAAAATATCCAAACATGCATTAATACTCTCAAGCATATTAGCTATATATCACAAGCATATAGCTATATACTCTCAAGCATATTAGCTATATATCTCAAGCATATAGCTATATATCACAAGCATATAGCTATATAAATTTCCCCCAGTATTTTAATTAACTTTCTACCAAACTAAAATAATATTTACAACTCCACAACTCCAAATTAGCGGTTAACTGTAACACTAATTATCAATAACAACCATAAAAGATAATTAATGGCTAACATTAATGATGCAAATTGCATCTCTCCATTGCGCTAACAGTGATGATGATCCACAAGAGAAGAAAAAACTCCAGAATTCTCCTCATCTTCATTGTCGGTGTCAACAAAGTCGATGCCTCGTCCAATGGTAAATTTAAAAATTTATTTGTAGCACTTAATTACCAACATTAATAGTCATGTAAAATGAAGTTGTAATCATACCAATGTACCAAATGTAGTAGATTACCATGAAATAATAATTATTATGGAAGGTAATAAATGAGATTAGCCCCTAAGCTTCATGACAGTAATTAATAATGTCAATTAATAATAACTACAATAAAGGCAAAATTATAATTAAGGGATGTGAAATACTAATCTTAATTTTACCACATAATAATTAATCATGACTATTATGATACTTAGGTACTTATGGAGACCGAAGTTAAGGTAATAACAAAATTACCATTATACAAACAATACACCAACTATATTGCTCTTGTCATAAATTAAAGACTTAATATTATTATTAAGACCCTGTAAACTATTGATAGATTAAAAATTTAATCAACTTAAACAATAGTTGTAGTTTTTAATGGCCAAAATAACAATTAAATCCTTAATGTCTCTAAACAGACCAAGACAATAATTATAGCGCTCAATTACTCAAATTAGGCTCATAAACCTCAATGGCCCAAGTGAATTATAACATGGATGGAAAATGGTCTAATGCTGAAGTAGAGCCAAAACTTAATATTATTACCAACGATGAATACCAAAATATGGTAGTTAGTGATTATCAAAACTTAATAAACATGTTATAATCAAATAAAAGTGCTACAATTATTATTTAAATATCAATCAAAATGGTGGAATCCACACTTTAGTGACCCATGATAGGTTCCAAATAGCTTGTTCAAAATAGGTTCTAAAGTCCGTGAGACACATAGAACTAAAATGTGCTCAAAATTAAGAAGAAACCAAACAAGTTGTTTTAAAAGGTCATAATACATAAAATTGACATGAGGATACAAAATTGAATGATATTTAAAAATGAATTTAGGAGTTAATGATATGTTAAATCCAACCTTAATGCATGCTATTATGAATGTATAATTATAAGAATAAAATGATTATAAATATACGCAACATGCTTGAATCTGAACATTAATTAATATATTATTAACCCATAAGCTCTAAATAAATTGCAATACTTCAGGCAGTTTAATATAAAACCTCAATATTAAATTAAAATTCAAACAAAAAATTTAAAACTTAATAATTGCTAAAAATTGAATGATAATTTAACAATAACTGAAAGAGGAATTAATTTGAGCAATTGACTAGAAGAAATCAAAATATGACGATGGAGAATTAAAGTAAGCCCAATTACTTAAGTAGGCCCCATATATATATATATATATTAATACTAGACCAGGCCTGCCCAAATGGGCCTGACCCGGCCCAAACAATAACCATAATCATCTTCTTGACGTTAATCAGCCAAAAACCTAGCAGGGTGTAACATTACTAAAAAAAATTATTATTCAATTTTCCTCATATATAAATAAATATATGAATACACACACACACACACAAACACACACACACACACACACACACACACACACACACACACACACACACATATATATATACATTTATTTATTTATTTATTTATATTTATATAATCACGATAAAGAGTTTTATATAATAACATTGCAAGTGTATGTCCATACGCACAAACAAAAAAAAAACAATTATTTTTAACTCATTGCAATCAAATTTAAAACAAAAGAATATAACTAAAGACAATCAAAATTAACCTAATAACAACAATTTTAAAAAAAAATAACTAATTGGACGTAATAGCAATTAATTACAAATCAATATCTCCAATTGTGATATTTTCTACTCTTTTAGGAAGTTGATAATAACAGTAAACAAATATTCTTCATTTTCATTGTTTCCATTGAATTGCCTAACCCTCATATGAAATTAATCGAAGAAATAAATATGTTTTTTTAGCTTGAAAATATATATTAATTCTAATGTCTAAATCCACTACACATTGCATTAAAATATTTATATTTATTATTTTTCAAGAATTGACCTAGCTACCACATGTGATAAAAAAAATGAAACTAAAATAAGTATTTGCACGTCAAGATGATAATATTAAGAAGTAAATTTAAAATGAGAGCATTTTGTAGGCCCCATATATATATATATATATATATATATATATATATATATATATATATATATATATATATATATATATATATATACTAGTTTTTTACGCGCATTGCGCGATTGAGATAATGCCCAATGTTTTTTTTTTTAAATAAGTACTTTAAAGTATATCAAGGCAAGATTATATTGGAATTGTTCGTGCATAGATAATTGAATGTTAAATTTACGTATTTAAATAGGCAATTTTAAATTTACAAATGCAAGATAATATAGTCAATATTGATTATAATTGTCAATAAAATAATTGTATAGGTATAGTTGAAACCAAATACGGGACATAAGTGAAAGTAAATTAAAATTAGGGCATAAAATATTAAATATATACTAATATTGAAAAGTTAATTGCTGATTTCCAAACAAGGACATTGCGAGTTAGTTTCCTACTTCAATTTGTTGTGTGATTTGAATACTCTTTTTGTCAATAAATCTCTCAAGTAGTTAATATGATTGGCTTAATTATATATATATATATATATATATATATATATATATACTTTTTTTATTTTTTAAAAACTATTATTATTATTATTATTGTTGTTATTATTATTATTATTATTATTATTATTATTATTATTATTAAATATGTGTATACTCTTAGGTCATTTTACATGTTCATCTAAACAACAGCTAATTTTTTCAAATATCTTTTTACCAACCGTTGATATAATTCGCTGGTCAAATTCACTAATATAATCCACTAGCTAACGCTAACTGCTGATTGTCAAACAAATACATTGCGAGGTAATTCTTACTTCAATTTGTTGTGTGATTTGAATACTCTCATTGTCAACAAATTTCTCAGATAGTTAATATGATTGGCTTTATGAATTATATTTTTTAAAAATTTTCATGGTATTAATAAAATACTTGGTAAACAACTATATAGCATTATTTTGTATTATAACTTTTATATTTAGTTAAAAAATAGTGCACAAAAAATAATAGACATTGTAGTGAATATAATCAATTGATGAATTTGAAATTTGAATGTAAAGAATTTTTACTTGGAGAAATATAAAGACAATAGAACTAATAAAATTATGTCTCTTAATTAATTTATTGATAGTGAATAATTTATTTTTTTTTTTAGTAAAGACATTGTCGGGACAATGTAGCGAACATAATCAATTGATGAATTTGAATGTAAAGAATTTTTATATTGGAGAAAAATAAACACAATATAACTAATGAAATTATTTCTCTTATTTTAATGAATAATTTTTTTTGAATAACGACATTGTAGACACATAATTCTAAATTAAAGAAATGCATATGTATTATTTTTTGTTGTAGCTACTAAATTATTATTTAATTTAATAAGACTAAATAGAGTTCTAATTATGCCAACTTTGATTAGGATGAGTTTCGAACCTAAGACCTTTCTTATTGAAATCAATGAGTAAGTTAACGGTGAACTAACAGAAAGTAACGGAAAAGATAATATTTAACGGAAAAGTTAACGGATAATCATATTCATTAAGGATAAATTAGTAAATCTTACGGAAAAATTAAAATATGATCAATCTAAGCCATTCATTTGATTAAAAAATTTGACCGCCATTTTTTCTACCCATTATAGGCCAAACTCTCTTGGGCTCTTATTAGTATAGTAGATATTAATACTAGACTAGGCCTGCCCAAATGGGCCTGACCCGGCCCAAACAATAACCATAATCATCTTCTTGACGTTAATCAGCCAAAAACCTAGCAGGGTGTAACATTACTAAAAAAAATTATTATT